GGGGGGTATGCATGTCTCTTGACCTGTCTTAAACACAATGGAGAGGGCATGTTCCTGTGGGCAGTGTGCTTTTGTCCTCTGCTCATTAATACTTTGATTTGCTGTTAAATTGTGCATCTAGCGTTTGAGTGAAACCAAAAGTTTATACAGAGCACTGCCACATTTTCCAATGTGAACATCGGCTTTTATTCAAGGTAGCATTATGTGCTTTGCTCAGTCTTTGTTTCTACAAACGGAACCTGGTCGAATTATAAGGTGACATAGTGAGAAGCCAAAACGAGTCATTAACTCAAGGAAACTCGGGCAGTGATTAGAACAGGCAGGTTTGGGAAAGGGCTAACAGAGGGACTGAGAAAGCATTAGCCCTATGGGGCCTTATTTAAATGTGTCCAAACATGGCGTAGGAGTTATCTGGCCACAGCACCTCAGTAAATAAGAGGAGTTTCAAAAGGTTTTGGTAAAATGGAATCAAAATGTGATGGATTTTCCCATGAACCTTTTGAAGCCCTCTCAGAGCTCTCCTTGTTCCTGCTACTCTTTGAAGGTGAAGCCGCGTAGGCAGAAGCCAAGAATGGCGTGTCAGGACCCTTGAGTGAGGAGAAGGGGGCTGCGCAGGGTGCTGCTGGTCGGTGGAGTGTTTCTTTTCATGTCTAACACCCCGGGTTATTGAGAGTCACGCACATTTGTAAGTGACATACAAGTATGTGAAACATCTTGAAAGAATGGACAAAGTCCTTTCTTAGAGTCAAAGTTCTTAAAGAGAATTAGCAAACATGAGGAACTATAGTGATTAAAGCAGTAAAGTTATGTAACTAGGAAGTATCGTGATACAAATATTAACTATAAAGGGCCACACAAATGTTCATATCTTGTGATTCAATAATGCCACTCCTGAAATTTTATCCTAAGAAAACAAGTGAAGAAGAGCTAAATGAAAACAAAACATAAGTAAAATATGTGTCATTGTAGATTAGCACATGCTAGTATCTGTGCATTGTCATACAGACATCCAAAATTACGAGAATGAGGGTGTAACAGTGAAAATACTTAAGATACTGAGATTCTGGATGATTGATTCTCTTCTTAAAACAGACTTTAATGTTTTAACTTTGTGATTTAGCATAAGCATGAAGAGTGAGTAAGTCATTGTGCACTGAATGGAAAGGGATTGTTGCCAAGCTTGGCTTTTAACTGGTGATTGTTACATTTATTTGTAGACTTTTCTCTTGGGAAGTTGTGCTTCTGACAGGAATATAGTACTATATGATATGAGGCAAGCTACTCCTCTGAAAAAGGTAAGTTGTAATGTTGTCATAAGGCTTCATAGAATTATTAATGCATTAATCTGTAAATCAGAGTTGAGGGCAAATATCTTTTCAGAATTAGTTTTTCCACCCAGAGATGGTCTTCAGAACCCAAAGCAATGACAGTAGCATCCTCTCAGCTCCCACTGGGCCCCATTTAAAGACCCTGTCAGTGTCCACCGGGGACTGTGTCCTACTCGCCTTTGTGTCTTCCTTGGTAGATTTCAGTAAATTCCAGCTAGTACTTATTGAAAGTTGTTAAAAATTACTATTTCATATTTCTTCGCTGTCTAGGCACACTTGAGATTCTCGTGATGTGTCTTATCCCAGAAAGTTGCATAACGAGTAGGTAATGTTACTTGTTTAGTTACTGTCTGATGGTTACTAGTTTGACGTTTTGTTGAGACAAGTGCTGTCCTGTGCAAGGTGACGTGTTTCCCAATAGTTGTTAGCTTGTTCCAGGACTGCGATCTGGGGAAGCCAGCACGGGGTGGTGCTGACGCGCAGAGGGAGAGCAGAGCTGTCATGGACAGTAGTGCCATCTAAGGACGGTGCGTGAAGTCTTAGTAACTGGAATTGCGAAACACAGGCGGCCAGAGCCCATTGCTGTAGTCCTCATGTAAAGTGAATACCTGTACTACCTGTGTTGTGCGTAAATCATTTTTGTAAAATGTAATCTTCGAGAAATAGTAGAGGTAGACGGACTATATTCATTGAAGTTGAAGACCAATAAATAGGGATGATCTTTCCAAATCACCCTTTTTGTCCTTTCACTCGCGGTAGAGTGGAATCCTACACAAGCTTTGCTGTTAAAGCAGGTAACTTTACCTACATGTGTCCTGTGAAATGGGATAGTAATAAACACCTTGCAGCACGACAGTGAGAATAAAACACGGTGCAGTTGTCATTGCTCACGTCCCTAAAGTTTATGTATCAACCCCAATCACCACTCAGTGTTTTCATAGTTTGTGAACACACACAAAGCTGTGGGAAATTAGTCCCCAACACGTGCCCAGCTAGGGGCAAACAAGGTGACTTCTGCCTTCTTGGGTCATGGTTCATACTGCGAGCAGTGTCATTTCCATAATCTGGGGTCATGTTTTTCTCATTTTTCCTCGTGTGTGTGTCAGGAGGAGGGTGATTTTGCTGTTGAAAGTGGTCCTGAGTGTGCAGGAGTGCTGCTGTGTCTTACACTCAAGCTCCTGTGATGTGCTTTATGGAGAAGATGCATGTAGATAAGTTTAATTCAGGGTGGCTCTAAACAGAAACACTTTAAGACAAATATTTGTGTGTGTGTTTTTTTAAAAACCCGCCCAAACCCACTGCCATCATGTCATTTCCCACTCAGAGTGACCCTGCAATGCAGTGTTCTTAACCTTGCTAATGCTGCGACCCTTTCACAAAGTTCCTCATCTTGTGGTCACCCCCACCCCAAACCATAAAATTATTTTCGTTGCTACTTCGTAACTGTAATTTTGCTACTGTTACGAATCGGGCGACCCCTGTGAAAGGGTTGCTCGAACCCCACCCCCAAAGGGGTCGCGACCCCCCAGGTTGAGAACCGCTGCTGTCGGCTGTCGGGTTTTTGAGACGACATCTTTTAGGGAACAGGCAGCAGCATCTGTCTCACAGAACAGCTGGTAGGTCTGAACTGCCAACCTTGAGATTAGCAGCCCAGTAACTAGCCCACAGCCAAGAATCAGCTGGACACAGCATTTAACAGAGAGGTAACATGAAGCTTGAGTTTAATAAATTGGAATTTTCCCCTAGCCCCTTACCTGTCTCCGCTTTTCGTGATGTCCCTTAACTTTTAAGTTGAAAAGAACTGTAACCTGGCTTTCAAGGCCCTTCAGAATTCGGTCCCAGTTTGCATTCCACTCATTTATTTGTTTAGTAAAATCAAAAGCCATGCTCACTGTCATCAAGCTGATAACAATGTGTAGCAATTCTGTAGGGCTGCTGTGATAAGACAGTGTTGTCACGTAACAGGCCCTCATAATCAGAATAGAGATCATTAGGTAGTGCTGCGTTCTGTTGTTTGCCTGTTCTGCCTGCTACACTTTCTCGATGTTTTTTCCATATGAAATGCAGTGGCCTAGGAGAAAGTAGACTTTCAGAAATGGAGAAGGGGGTGAGATTTTGGATGCTACTATTGGCATTAGCAGGCTCTCCTGGAGCCTAAACTTCCTACAGTGGACAGTTGCACAGAGTCAGGAGATTGTTCTCTCCAAAACGTCAATAACCCCTCTGTTGAGAAACACTGTATTAGCCTGGTCTTTCCAGGTCAGCTCAGTATCGTGCATGCCTTATGACACCTGGACCACAACGTGTTGGGCTGTTCACTGCAAGGTCAGCAGTTCAAACCCACTAGCTGCTCCGCAGGAGAATGAGGAGGCAGGCTGTTTGCCCTTGTGAGGCTTGTGGTTTCAGGAACCCCATATTGGGTCACAATGAATTGTATTCGACTCGACGGCACTGGTTTCTTCTCCACTCTAACCTTAAACTCATACCATTTATTTTGCCATTAATTTGACAGTTTATCATTTTATTGTGTTTGCTTATTTTTATGTATGTCTCATTTTTCTAATTAAACTACCAAGTTATTTGAGCTCAAGGGACGCTGCATTAAGCATTTTTCTATTTTTTAATACCTACACTCTGCCTGGGTGTATGTAGCCAAGGAGCCCTGGTGGCTCAGTGGTCTACTAAGCGAAAGGTCAGCGGTTAGAACTCGCCAGCTGTGCTGGGAGAGAAAGATGTGTGATGGTCTGCGTCTGTACGGATTACAGCCCTGGAAACCCCCAGGCAGTCCTGCTCTGCCCAGTAGGGACACCAGAGAGCCAGCAGGGAGTTTGGTTTAGGTTTGACATGTGTGTATTTTCCCCATTATTAAGCTGAATGTTTTATAAAATATTGCTGAAATCGGGGGAAAAGAAGCAAAGGAGGTAAAATGGGAAATGCTTACCTTGTAGAGGTCATTCCATTTGTGGTAATGGGATCTTGTATGCCGTGTTGCAGGTTATTTTAGATATGAGAACAAATACAATCTGTTGGAACCCTATGGAAGCTTTTGTTTTTACCGCAGCCAATGAAGATTATAAGTAAGTTCTTTTTTCTTAAAACTTTGTATCAGGAATGGCTCAATTTTATATGTCTTAGTAATGAAATGTGCTTTATTGAGTAGTGTGCCTTCCTTTGTACATTCAAAATGATCATTTGATCTATTTATCTTTTAATATTTTCAAATTGAGGGAGAGTTAGACAAGGATTCTTGGCTCTCAGAGCACCTACCAAATTTGTAGATGAATGTTTTTATAGATCAAAGTTTTCTTGTCGTGTAGCCACAGTATTTACAAACTGAATATGACTGCTTTTGTACTGCAGTGGCAAAGTTGAGAACTGAATCGCAGCAATCCTAGGACCCTTTGAGCCAAAAATGTTTATTGTCTGGCCCTTCTCAAAGGAGTTAGCTGGTCCCCGATATACTGAACCATAAGTTTCCATGGAAACTGAAAGCCTCTGCCTGCAGAATTTGTAGTCTGGCATGTATCTGATACTCAATGGCATCATGGCATCGATTGTTAATATTACTTCTGAAAGACAAAAGCGAAACTTGGAGTTTGTGTTTTCAGTTTAATATTTGAAGATATAATATTCTGTGACAACATGTAAAGTTTACTTAGCAGCCTTACATTCTTGACCTTAAATGCAGCTTTGTGATTCCTGATATATGAGGGGGCTTCAAAATTTCATGGAATATTAGAATTAAGATAGTGGGAGTTTTGCACAAATGTTGTTTGAAGCCCTCACAGATAACTTGCTGAAGCAGTTAACGTGTTTGATGTGTTCAGTATCCTTATAAGTTAGCTACCCAGGAAGACTAGTCTTCAAGGCAGGGAAATAGCATCTTAGTCATGTTTTTTTCCTTGTTATTTAAAGTATTTTTTGTAGTATTGTGTATATGGTAGTTCTTAATACGTGCTTTTTGAGAAGGTGAAAGTTTGTTGGTAGATTGCACTATAGATCTTACTTTTATATTCTTGTGTTCTTTCTATCATACTGACTTGGAAGAATAAATAATAATATTCCCTCACACTTGTCACCCGTTACATGATGCTTTAGTGGTGCCAGTTTATTTAGACTGATTCGGTAGTAAAAAGTTTAGGTAGACTCTTAAACCAAACCAAATGAATGGAAGCTGTTGTGACCTGTATTAACACTTTGAGATTGTGACATTATTTCTGTCAAAGGCCGTGAAAGAATGTCCATTGTTCCTACTGATCTCACTAAGGTCTCTGAATGTGTTCTACCGAGTCTTGCATCACAGAGGTCAAATGATGGGCCTGGGATGAACACATGGGAAACCCTGGGGGCAGCCTGACTTTGACAGCCGCACCTTTGGTAGTGGCTCTTTCCCCCCTGTTTTAATATATTTCATCACGCGTACAGAAAGGTGTCTTTAGAGAGTAGCCCTGGGATTTCTCGTGTCTTGCTTTGGCAAGAAGTGGATTTGGCCCTTGAAATGGAGGGCACGTTCCTTGTAAGAAGTGAGACTTGCAGTGCTGCAGCGCCGCGTCCTTAGTCACTTGCTGTGGTTTCCTTTTTCTGATTTTAAATATTCTCTTGTAGTGCTATTTAAATATACTAATGATTCTGGATTAAAGACCCCCAAGTTCAAGTCTAGACCCAACCAGTAACTGCTGAAGAAAGTTGAACAAGCTAATGTGTATCCTGGTTTCAGTAGCTAAGAGAGTTGGAATAAGTGATTGCTAAAGAGTGCTATCATGCAAAACTTGGTTTAAGTAAACATCCTCACTTGTTTTCCCCAAATGAATAGATTCCCTTGGGATTTAAATAAATTATTTTCCTTTTTTCGTGTAGAAATAATACAGCTTACTAAAAATCAAAATTTGCTTAAAAACAACAACAAACAAAAACCCCTTGGAGAAACCACTCCTCCCACCAGGGACTGTGAAGCGGAACGCCTGACATCAGTGTGCTCCAGATGACAGCCCGTGGTCTGGGGGAAGGCGGCAGGAGGAAACAGCGGCGTACGCTTTGACGAGCATTCCACGGCACTTAGGATATTTTCTCATTAGCATCAGTGACTTTTGTAGTCATGGTATTAAAAATACTCCAAGTGTCGGGTTTCCAAAACATTTGCATTTGAAATAATTTTAGATGGGCTGGAAAGCTGCAAAAATAGTACTATAAAGTTATATAAGTTATATAATTATAACTTAGCGCTTCATATAGCCACAGTGTCATTTGTAAAGCCAAGAAATTAACATGGGGCAGTGGGGTGGACAGTGCTGTCAACTAAACTACAGACTTGATTCCATCACCAGTCCGCCTCTCATGTTGTTGGTTCTAGAAGCCAACGTAAGCTCCGATGTTGCGTTTAACTGCCAGATCTCCCTAGCCTGCTCAGTGTGCACTTGTGCTTCATTCTTACCTTCCATAACCTTGGTACTTGGGAAGAGGACTCCTCGAGATTTTTGCAGCACGTCCTTATTTTGGATTTAACTGATCGTTCCTCATGATTATATTGAAGTTAACGCATTTTTGGCAAGATTTCCTCAGAAGTGATGTGCCCTTCTCAGTGCATTATGGTGCTAAGTCTTAACTCTGCTAGTCATGCTAACCTTGAACAGTGGTGATGATGGGATCTGCCAGGTTTCGCAGATACTATAAAGTTAGTATCCCCCCCATTAATTAATGCATATCTTTAGGGAATTTAACTAAATTTTTGCTTCTCAAGTTTCTCCTCACTAGTCGTACTCTTTAGGAAGTCTTGAAGTCTTGCTCTTAGGGCTTTAGTCACAGTGACGGGGCGTTACTGCTGTCTTGTCCGTGTTGACTTCTCTGGAACCCTGTTCTCTTCGCTGGTGACTCGGGTTCTTAATCTTGAAACCCCTCAAGCCATTAATTCTCCGATTGTGTACAAGTGTGGTTTTCTAAAAGGAGTCCCCCTTTCTTTGGATGCCCGTGCTTACGGTTCTACGGCCCAGATGGCACTAGAGACTAGCGCAGCTTTGTGGGACAGTGATTTGGAACTTGAATCAAGCCTTGACATGCTCATGTCATTAAAGGCAGTCACCCTACAAATAACCCTTTGTGGGAATCTGCTTAGACAGATAGCATTGAATCTCCCCATTTAATAAAGACTGTTGAAACTTTCAGTGCTGGGATTTCATGTAAGTATTATTTATAATCTGTACAATTAGTGGTTGGGAGCTTTCAAAAATGAGAAACAGATTTATTCATTTATAATTATGATGCCATTAAAATCTTTTCAAAGATTATTAAATGATATGTGTAAATGTCCAATAGAATAGTATAAAAGGTTAAAAGACATTACACTATGTTTCTCTGTGTGATGAGATTAAAGGTAAATTTTGTATTTTGTGAACTCTTAAAATTTCCATCTTTTCTGTATTTTGTGAACTCTTAAAATTTCCACCTGTGCTTGTCAGAAAGTGTGTGTTTCCTTATGAAACGGCAGCAGATGACATGTTCCCCTGTTCCTCATTGGTCCTCTTGAAGAATCGAGCCTTACATATTTTTTTAGCTAACGGATCTTATTTTGGTTAGTGACTTTTAGCACTACATGTAACTTAATCCTAGAAACTTGTGTGAGCAATTTAATATTCTTTTGCAGCTTGTATACTTTTGACATGCGGGCACTGGACACACCTGTAATGGTGCATATGGATCACGTGTCTGCGGTGCTTGATGTGGATTACTCTCCTACCGGGAAGGAGTTTGTGTCCGCTAGTTTTGACAAGTCTATTCGAATCTTTCCTGTGGACAAAAGTCGAAGTAGGTACGTGGCAACCAACACACTTTTAGTTTTCTTTTTTCTTGTCCCTCATTGTCTTTTTGGGGGTTATGTGTATAAAATGTCTCATCCCTAGGAATGGTGACTGAGGTGCTGATTCAGTGAACAGGGTCAGCCTACTGGGCAGTTTCGTTCATTGTTCAATATAATAATGTCCTTTGGCTCCTTGTGATTTACATTAGCTGTGCATCATTTGTCTCTCCTGGGTTCCAGCCCTATGCTGCCGCCTCCTGAGAGGCAAGGGCCTCAGCCCTACCTTTTGATGATACACAATCTGCTTTGCTTAACTCTTGGATGCTGCTCCACTCAGATTTGAGGATATCATACTGATTCCTAAACCTTGAACCATCTTTGATGGCTAGCAAACAGTTGTCATTTTTACTCCTTATCTGATTGCCAAGGTGTTTGCCTTTGCTTAAATCAAAAGCAGACTGGTTAGAGTATGACCAGTGCCTCTTTTTAAATGAAAAGCAGACTGACTCGGATGGCCTTGGTCTTTACACCACCATCCCTGATGTAGAGTCCTGGTGTTGGATAGCCATGGTTCCTTGTGGCTGCCTTTTCCTTTCAACCAGATGATCTCCATGCTATTAGGAAGGGTCAGACTTAAGGCATTATCGATAGGTTTGATTCGCCTTCCATCTATAGAGAATGTGAGCTTCCCCTATTTTTTTCTCTGCCCAAACCTCTCAAGTTCATAGAACAATACCTTTCTGACATGGTACCGGACACAGAAAGACAGACGAGGAAAACACAGAAAGAGAAATGGGAATGTCGAGGCCCTTTTTGAAAACAGCCATGGTGATGCACTGCTTAACTGTCTGGCTGCTAACTGAAAGATGGGCCCTGGGAACCCACTCTACAAGAGTAAGGTGCGGCCATCTGCCGCTGCATGGCGCAGCTCTGCTCTGGCCTGTGCACACAGCTATGACTCGAGGCGCCTGGCACCGATTGAGTTCTAACTAAATTATTTCACAGTCAACCTGGGTGGCTAAATGCAGATTTAAGTAGCATGCCCAAGTCATCCCAAAAGTGTATGGTGGAAAGAGTTCTAGACCCCAAAGCCAGCAGGTTGTCTCCTGGGGTCCTTTGGGTATTAAATCACAAAGGCGTCCCCTGCTGACCTTCATCTTCAGCTGCTTTAAAGGTGGTTTCTTGTCAGCTCCAGTTTCCTAGAGTGATTCAGTGCCTTGAAGAATCCGGATTTTTTTAATCGCCTTTGAACAACCTTAAAATGGCTAAAAAAGTTTCTTTTTAAAGTTTGAGTTGACTTTTAAGCATACTGTGGTTACATCAATATCTGAGAATTGTCTTCTCGGGGGTTCACTCTGTTTACTAAACAATTCAGTAAATCAACCAGAACTAACCTCAGTGCTACCAAGTCAATTCTGGCGCATAGCGACCCTAGGGATTTGCAATACTTTAAGTCTCTACGGGAGCAAACAGCCTCATCTTTCTCCCAAGGAACAGCTAGTGAGTTTGAACTACCAATCTTAAAGGTTAGCAGCCCGGTGCCTACCCTGCAGTGCCACCAGGGCGCCTTAAGTCATTCACATTGTGTGGAATGGTTTGTTGGACTGGCTACATAAAAATGATTTGTCTGCTAATACATACTCTGACTTTCTGTGGGCTTTATAAACCTAGATCTGTGTGAGCGTAAACTTGTCCAGAGCATAAGAACTCTGCCAAAGGTGGGGTCTCAGTCGTGCAAGTGACTGACCTAGTTGTGATTTGACTAGTCTGAGTGATGGCAGAGTCCTGGTGGCGTGGTGAGAGAGGCATTGAGCTGCTAAGTGAAAGGTCAGCCTCTTGAAACCTCCAGCTGCTCTGCTGGAGAAAGGTGAGGCTCTCTACACCCGTTAAACATACAGTCTTGGAAACCCCAGCGGTAGTTCTCCTGTGAGTCACAGTCACGCGATGGCAGGGCGTCTTAATGCATGAGCGGGGGGTGTGGACTGATTGTTGAGGCCTCCGTGAACTCCCTGTCAGTCAGACTCATTCCGTCTCTGGAGAGAAGGGCCTCTCAAACAGGTAGCTATTATATTGAAGGGGGGTGAGGAAAAGATAAGGCAGTCTTCCTCATCCAGTTTTCATTTTCTTAGGATTTTTTTTTTTTTTTTTTTTTGGTCTAACCCCATTTAAAAAAAATAAGTTTCTTGTGGTTTCCCTACATATTTATGTATTCATGAACTCAAAATATATAGAAACCACACAAAAGACACGCTTTGTAAGTGTGCTTTTAGAAGCTTTCAGCGCTCCTATTATAGGTGGGTTTTGGCGCGGTCATCACGTGTGGCCTTGCTTTTACTGTGCTTGCTTTGCTGAGCTTGTTGCCTTTCTCCTGTGGGTCCACATTTTGAGTCACGCAATCCAGATGCGGAAAGCATATTCCTCTCTACAGCTCATCCTTTTATTTTTTCTGACTTTGCCTTTTATTTGCTTTTTAATGCTCTCCCTAACGCCTCCCAATTTAGAATCATCTGTGAATTCACTTAGCATGTTTCACAGCTTTTCCAAATAGGTATGCTATTTGACATCTCCGTTTATGAAATCCTCCTTAACATCAACTCCTCACACACCTCTGGAGCCCTGCCTCCTCTCTTCACACATGTAAATCATCCACTTTAACATCAATTAATTAAGCTGCTTAAACAATTTGACTGAAACAAAAATCAGACATTAGGACCAACACATCCAGATATGGTCTTTGAAGGCCACAGCATGTATTTTCCAGTGAAACACAGGTTGAGAGTGCGGTGCTCAGGGCTGGCACTTAATAGCGCCAAGTTACTCCAGCTTCGTGGGGTTTGGGTTCTGGCTCATACAAGACCCCCTGTGACAGTTGAGCTGTCTCACAGGGTTTTCTGAACCTCACAGAAGCACAGTGGCATTTCTCTCTCCGTTGAGCTGCCTGGGTGGGTTCGAACCACTAATCTTTTGGTTAGCAGCCAGACCATCAGGGCTCATGCCCACTTTTGCTTTACGTTACTTGGGTTATATGTCTTCAGTTGTTGGGGGACCACTTTGATCTGTCTAATTTTTGTCTCCTTTGTCTATCATGGGATTCTAAGTTCTTCAAGGGAGGAAATTTTGTTATTGTTCCCCACCACCTAGTATAGTATTGCTGGTTGGACTCAATAAAGATACATTAAAATGAATTCAAATTTCCCTTTTATTCTCCCTCAGGACTGAAACACTGCATCCTGGTCATTGACAAGCAGTAATCAGCAGTATAAAAATATGTCCCAAAATTAACTTACGGCTTTTCACTCCCTTCCTCTGTAATAGGGAAGTGTATCACACAAAGCGAATGCAGCATGTCATCTGTGTTAAGTGGACTTCTGACAACAAGTACATTATGTGCGGCTCTGATGAAATGAACATTCGCCTGTGGAAAGCTGACGCTTCTGAAAAACTGGGTGTGGTAAGAGACCTCAGCTCTCATCGCTTTAAAGCTGCTTTTCCATCTTGCTGCTTATCCGTATTTTGTGAAGAGAATTTATGTAAGGGGCTGTCAGTACTTATCAGATGGGCGTCACTGTGATAAATAAGTGCCAACAAAGCCAACAAGTGCTGCGAGGAGCATTTTTTATTTTCACTCACACACACACACACACACACACACACACACACACACACACACACCCTATGTCAAAGGCACCTTCACTCAGATGCTTGGTAGTATTTGAGGGTTCCTGATTGGTTGTGCTTTCCCAAGGTGGAGAGAGAAGCCGTAGGGACTGGGTGCTTCTCACTTAGGGGAACACATGTCCTCTGTTGGAGAAATGGAATCAGTCAGATCAGAGGCTGCAAGGCCCTTTGAGGCCTTTTACTATCAGACACCGTGAAATCTTCACTAAAAAAAGATTCAGACTTTTAAGAGATTTACTGAAAATGTAGCAGATACTGTCCCTTGCTGGCTCCCTCTGGGTGTGGACTCATGGTTGGTTTCGTTTACACTGGAGCAGAACAAAGCACACACCCTCATTAAGATGCCCAAACTGCTCTTTTCCAGCTCTCATCCCGAGAAAAAGCAGCCAAGGATTACAATCAGAAACTGAAGGAGAAGTTCCAACATCACCCTCAGATAAAACGGATCGCTCGCCACCGCCATCTCCCCAAGTCCATCTACAGTCAGATTCTGGAGCAGCGGGTCATGAAAGAAGCGCGCCGACGGAAGTATGTTTTGGGGCCTTGGACTCGGCCCTTTGTTGGGTGGTGGCGGCATGTAGAACTGCCCCCCAGGCTTCTCAGGACTACCACCCTGTGGGCTCTGCCCCCACACCTCTGGAGGGCTGTGAACTGCCACCCTTTTGGCCAGTCATGGAGCACTGAACTGCCTGCACCAGGCGGGACTCCTGTCTTCCTCAGTACCTTTTCTTAATTTCTTCTCACCCAAAACAAAAGCTGCCTCTTCGGGGAGGAGTTTGTGTGCAGGTGTACATCAGGACTGGTTTTGAAGACACCTTTGGGCTTTCCTGTTTCTTGAGGAAAAGGAAAACAGTGGGCACCTGAGTGTGAGGATTTGCCTTAACCGCGTGTGAGGGTTTGTTTCAAGGACATTACAGGGGGAGGGGGGAGGGGAATGAGGAGCTGATGCCAAGGGCTCCAGTAGAAGGCAAATGTTTTGAGAATGATGATGGCAACAAATGTACACATGTGCTCGACACAATGGATGTATGTATGGATTGTGATAAGAGTTGTATGAGCCCCCAATAAAAATGACTTTAAAATGGGGGATAGGGGGAAGAAAACGAATTAGATCACAATAAGAACATACTTCTTACTAAAATACTACCACAAATAGGCAATACTTAAAATGTATTTCTAGTGTAGGGGGAAGTAGAAGTGTGGTAAATTTTCCAAGTTAAAGAATGCAGAGAGAACCTTTATATAGAGTTTTGAGATAATTTTTCTCAAATTCTTTAATATTTGAGATTTAACATCTTGTATCTGAAGTGGGGTTTCACACACACACACACACACACACACACTTACCCCCACCCCACCCCAACTATTCTTTTTGGAATCTTTGAATTCATACAAGGTGTATAGCAATTCTAAAAGCTCTTTTTTTCTAAAACCAGATAATATAAGTAAAGAATTTTGCTGGTTTTTAGGTAGATGTTGGGTTTGTCATTTTGATTTTTTTTTTAAATACTTTTAGTGAGGGCTCTTACATCTCTTATCACAATCCATACATTCATCGAGTGTGTCTTGTACATATGCCGCCATCATTTTCAAAGCAGTCTCTTCCCACTTAAGCCCCTGATATCAGTTCCCCATTTCTTCCCCCTCCCTCATGAACACTTGATAAAGTTATAGATTATTATTTCCATATCTTATATTGTCTTCTGTCGCCCCTCACCCACTTTTCTGTTATTTGTCCCCCTGGGAGGGGGTTATAGGTTGATCCATGTAATCGATTCCCACTTTCTTCCCCCACCCTCCCCTAATCCTCTTGGTATCTACTCCATGTTGCCCTGAGGGGTTTATCTATCCTGGATTCCCTGTGTTGCAAACTCTTA